CTCCCCGTCTCGTCTCCCTCCTCCCTCCTCCTCCTCCTCCCTCCTCCCTCCTCCCTCCTCCCTCCTCCCTCCTCCCTCCTCCCTCCTCCCTCCTCCCTCCTCCCTCCTCCCTCCTCCCTCCTCCCCTGGCCCCCGTTACTCGTCCTCCTCCACCTCCCCACCGCCCTTTCCCATCCATTCCTCCATTCCCTCTTGTTCTGTTTTCCCCTTTCCTACTCCTTTCTTCCTCCCCCGGCTCCATCACACTCATCTCCCATCCAGCTGTACGTAGGAGGAACCTTCGATTCAGCTGAGCTCAACGTCTCAACCTCCTCCACGACTTCCAGCCAGCAGGACACCTTCTCGACGATTGGCATGATCGCAAGGTCACTAGAGCAGCAGCGCCGTCCTCCCATCTTACATGCTCGCTCAGGTACGACGGCAACTCGCTCTACAGACTCGGCCATGGCATGAACGGCGCAGTCTACTCGGTCGAGGAGTTCATGGTGGGTAGCGAGACTCCTTGACGTCAGTCTGCTGACGTCATAGGCAGGGCCAAGTCGCAGTCGGCGGGTCCTTCACCACCTTCAACTCGGCCGTTCGGGATCAGAACAGGACGGGGCCGCTCGCGCTTTGGGACGAGGAGACTCATCAGTGGTCGACTATCCCCGGCTCGCCGCCCCTTGGCGTTATCTTCTGCCTGGTACTCCAGTTCTCGCCCAGCTGTCGGGCAGGGGAGGATGTGACACTGAGGTTGCCGCAGGCCGTCATGAACAAGACACTTTTCGTAGGGGGGTCGTTCACTTTCCGGTCCTCCGATGGGAGAGAGATTCAGCAGGTGGCTCGGTTTGACAGCTCTGGAGGGCCTCAGCTGGGAACGTGGAGCGGCCTGAAAGATGGTCTGCAAGGTCTCTCTCGCTGTTGTTCGCGTCCAGGTGTTTGACAAGTGATAAGGTGGGGACGTTTACACCCTCGTGATCGTGGAGGATGTGGACGTCAGGGTATACGCTGGTGGAAGTTTCAAATCGTACGTGAACACTCTCCCTCCCTACTTCCCCCTTCTCCGCCCTCTTCTTTTTCCTCCTCTACTCTGTTCTGCCTACCCTCCCCTCCCTCCCTCCCCTCCCTCCCTCCCTCCCTCCCTCCCTCCCTGTCCTTGTCGTCTTACCCAAGTTGCTGCAGAGCCGGACTACTTCCTGCCCGCTCGATTGCCTACATGCTGAAGGACGAGTGGTACTCGATGGGCGACTTCGACGGCTCTGTGCATTCCATGGCTGCCATGGGGGGAGAGCTCTTCGTCGGCGGCTCCTTCACCAGCGTCAACTGGCGAGGACTGGTCTCCTACTTCGACAATGTCCGTCCTCGTTCTCCACACTCTTACACACCTGATCCTCTCCTCTCGCAGCTTGCCCGCTGGCACGACGGCTCGTGGATGAGCGTTCCGGGGATCGGCGGCCCCGTGTTCTCCCTCGCCACAATCAGGGATTGTTTGTACATCGGAGGAGACTTCAACAAGATCTGCCTCCCTGGACAGGCACGCAAGGCCAAGGTCTCCCCTGCTGCCTGCTTGCCTTCCTGCTGACGGCAAAACTTTGACCAGACCTGCCGCGAGGAGACCAACTCAGAAAGTTACCAGGTGAGGAGCGGGTCAAGGGCTCTGAGCTGGAGGTTGACTTGAGCACCGCAGCTGGCTTGCAGCTCAGCGCGATGGTGTCTTTCGAGCCTCCTGACCAACAGCAGCGCCGAAGCCATGACGTGCGAGGTACGAGAGTCGGAGCGGTGCTGCTTGCTGCTTGCTCATGTCGCTGTAGGGCGAGGAGGACCTCATCGGGCAAGTTCGGGTCATCACACAAGTATGAGGAGTCGGTCTGACTGTATTCTTGCACATACAAATGTATCACTAGTTCGTGTTGTTATATTGAAGTCAAGGTTGCTGTACTCCGAGCGGGGGCCCACTGGGACCGGCTGAGTGAACACAAATCATTCAATAGTGACTGCCAGTGGGGCCGGGAATTGATCATCAAAGTTTGAAAACCCAGAGTTAAAAAAAAGTCATTGATTGCGATCATCAGTCAATTGTCACAGGAAGTACTACTTTACTTTTACACACTACTCTATAACTTGAAATATTACTATTACTTACTATTACTTACTATTACTTACTATTACTTACTATTACTTACTATTACTTACTATTAATACTACTACTACCTACTCCTACTACACGGCAAGAAGTGTCCGTATGGCTGGGCATGATAGAGTGAGGGGTGGGTCTTTAAGAGGTATTTGATGGGGGTAGGGTCATATCGGAGTTGAAATCTTCCAGTAGTCGCCGGCCTCAAATCATTGGCAGAATCCTGTTATTTCAAACTTGAAACCTCTTAATTTAAGCATATTTATGAGGAATCGTCTTATTTTAACAAGGAACTTGCTTATTTTCTATCAAATGATATCTTTTACCGCACCTCTCGGAGTTGGACCGCTGGGGACAGGGAGGGGTACCCTCGGATACTACCAACTCCGATCAAGCATCAGATTCCTTGACCGACGATACTCGTGGCGGAGCAAGGCACGACGGGCAACTGCTACCTTGTTGTGTCCTCATCAAGCAGCGATCTCTGGCAGCGATCTCTGGCAGCGATCCTCGCGTCAAGCTACTCTGCTGTCGATCCTTTCAGACGTTCGCAAGCAAGGGTTCTGCGACGAATTCCTGGATGTCGCCGCATCCTCCTCTTGATGTCACGGATTGCTCCGTGGAGGTTGATTTCGTTTTCGTCACTTCCCCCAAGAATAACTTGAGCCTCTACTCCTGCTTCCACCCAAATGCTGTCACAGAATCTGCGCTGTACCAGTTGATCGTAAAGGAAGAGTTGCCCGACGTGTGGATTCGACCTTGCGATAGAAAGTCATGCAACAGCCCGTTCTGGATCAAATCGCGCGAGAGAGATGCACGCTGTTCTCCGCAAGATCATGGTAGCGTCGCTCAGATACAGAAGGAAGTGGACGAGTTGTATGCTATCTACCTCGAAACTCAGTTTTCAGGGCATGTTGCACAAACTTCGTCGCCATTATGGCCCGAGCAGGAGGGAGACTGAACTCTGGCACATTGCAGAGTGAGTTGTCCTCCCAAACATCTCAGCTCGAGTTCATAGAGCCTGTACCTTGCAATCGGAGCAAACAACCTATCTAGCGGAGAGAGCCAGCTCACCGTTCCAGGCTTCAAGTCCAGCCATTTGCACCCTAGAGGATTCTGAGAGTAATCCCCTTGAATGACAACGAATCTCTCTGCCTTGTTCTTGGTGTTGGCAGTCCCGCAACCTTCAAACTGACTATCCTGTGCATTCACATGTCGTCGGGGATCATTCCTAAAACTTTTGATGTCTGTACCTTAGAAATATTTTCCTCTCGTGCTGTTGTGGAGACTCTTCATAAAACCGAAACACCTTGCATTTCTCACACATCTTCGAATTTGCTGATACGTTTCCCGGAATCAAGACTACAAGAAGTTGTCGAACTTCACTCGCCGCTTCACTCGCCGTAATGGGTCAGAGAGAGGCCTCCCCGAGAGGGCCTGCTTGTCTATGCTGCCGGTGAGGTGCCACGGTGTCTTGCACTTTTCAGACCGTATCGTAATATTGTGAGAATTGAATGCCTTTTTAAATTTTCTATACACAATGGTGAGGTGAACTCGTTGAGCTAGTCGTTCTCCCAGCATTTGTCAGATGACTGAAAAGCTCACCAGGCTGGTGGTCTCCTTGTTGCACCTAGAGGGGTGGGGTTACTGTTGACCCTACGGTATTGTCGTTGACGGGTGTGTTTGGAGATAACCCCCCTTATGATAGAGTAATTATTCTATAATGGAGGGGTGAAAATCCCGGAAAGAATCCCAAAGAGAGGGTAGGGGTAGGGTCAACCATGGTTTGCGCCAAAATGCAGGCAAGCAAATGTGGGTGAACTATGGGGATGAGATAGGAGGAGGCAGGAGGGAGAGAGGGGGGAGAGAGTGTCAGAGAGAAGCAGATGGAAGATAAAGATGCATAGGCTGAAGAAATGAGGTGATCAGAGGTACCTAGAATCAGCAAGGAGCATTTTAGAAGCATCGTGTGGGGGATGGTTGGTTTGGGAGAGTCGCGAGGTGACGGGGGACTTTGACGTACAGGAGATTTCTTGATGGGCATCTGAACATCTCAAGTCTGCATGTGTTGTCCTCCTCCTGAGGTTTGAACGGCGGGAAGTGGGAGCTCGGACAAGACAGGGGGTTGAAATATTGACCGAGCTCTCTAGTAAACCGATCGACAACCCACATGCTCATACCTGTTTGCTCGGCCCTCTCGGGGAGGCCTCTCTCTCTGGACTTGCCTGGAGGCTCTCTTGTGGAGGTGAGGAGCAGTCTGCAAGCGTTTGTAGCGCATCCTCTTGTGTAAATCTCGTGCAGGAACTTTATTCCACCATCAAGCGGCAACTGGAAATCGAAGTCGAGAACCAAATTGTGATGTGCGAGTGGGAGCCAGAGAGTGGTATGAACCAAAGAAAGACGCTGTCCTCGTACGGCCTTCCGCGCCAAGATAATCAAGTCATTTTCTTTTACGACAAGTCATGGTTCAAGTCCGGGTTGGCGGGCACTAAGACCGAAGATGAAATCATTGTGATCAAGGCTCAATTACCGAATCAAGAGAAGGTTGTTCTTACTATCCTTGAATCGTCTTCTTGATCCTGCTGCTTGCAGTCATTGTCCAACAGCGCGTTCATGTCGAATCAAGACTCGGGCGAGCCTATGCAGAGTGCCATCTTTAATTTCTATGCAAGATTCGCCCATTGGAAGGTATGGCCTGTCTTCTCATCTGAGATAAGAGATATCGATTCTCTCTGTATTTGTTCAACCTCATGCTGAGTGTAGGCAACCGCTGATGCCTTCTTGGTGGCTGCGAAAGCGAGAGAGAAAGCATGCCAGGACATTCGAAATGAAGTCAAGATGCAGCATCGCGGATCGGCTTTGGCAAGGAAGTCGCTCATGTGCTACTTCAGTGCTGTCAGGAAGTCTATCGAGAAGTTGGAAACAGAGCTTGAATCGGCTCGTCTGAGCACAGAAGAAAATCTCAAGAGATCAGAAGTTGATGCATGCCTTGAAAAGCTCCAGATGACCAGTCTTCACAAGGCACATTGTGCGGTCTGGAGAGTTCCGGAGGGAACCAAGTTGATTTCTTTTGTCAAGGACACCGACCTTCTGAACAAATGTGTTGAATCTTGCCACTCCCTTGTAAGTGTGCTCGAAAGCAAGGTCGGAGAATGCATCGTTGCGTTCCAAGAGCTCGAAGATCTTGTGAACCTGGAGATGACGAACGGGGATATGTCGGAAAGATCGACGATCGCCGAAGTCGAGAGCTTCTTAGAGAGCATGTCGTCGGAGAGAATCGAGATCGAGAACTTCAACTCAGCAATATCGGAAGATGTTCGAGAGTTGGAAGCGACCCTCCCTGACCTGTCGAATGGAGAGAGGGACGTTGGGAACCTTTTGGACCTCATGAACAAGCTACAATCCAAGTACTCACAGTTCAAAGATGGCTTCAACGAGCTTTCGACGCACGATAACAGCCATCAGAAGCTCATGGAAGGTTGCTCTCTTGCAAAGAAGCAGATGACAGAAGGGATTTTGGACAAACTGCAGAGGGTAGCCACACTGCAAGGACGTCTGCTTGACACGAAGAAGAAGGTAAGTCCTCTTAGTTCCTCTCGAGCTCACCGGTGACGGGGAGGCTTACAGTCGGATGCTCTGTTGGCTGGAGCGGTGAACGAGAGGAAAAGAAGAATCAATCAAGTCGAGATCGTCCTAAGGCTGCCGGAAACCTACAAAGCTTGGTGTGAAGAGGTTCACAAGAGAAATGCGTATTACGACAACCTCGTTGCGAACGCGGAGCACATTTCAGGAGCCGTGCAAGATCTGGTAGACAACGAGGAAGAGCGGAGGCTGGAGTTTCTGGAGAAGTATGAAGCCTACCTCCCAGCTCCTCTCCTCGACCTCCTCAATGAAGGAGCGAGCGGGGCTGCGGGGCATCCGCCGAGGATGGAAATCCATGTCTCGAGGAGGCCGAAGCAGCTGCCAGAGATCCGACTGAGAGATCTTGAAGAAGGGGCGGCTGGAAACTTCCAGCTGCTTCAGATCACGAGGGAGAGAGGAGATGCCAGCGGTGCGAAGGCGGAAGGAGAGCAGGAGGAGGCTCCGAGGTCTGAGGAGCCGGATAAGAGGGTGAACCAGGACATGGAGGCAGTGAAGAGTCAGATGGAGGAGCTGGAGAACGAGCTGTCGGAGAAGGAGAGGCTGTGGCGCAAGGCGAACGAAGGGAAGGCTGAACTGCAGCTCAAGCTGAATGAAACGATTGAGCGAGTCAACATGGAGAGGGCGCAGAGGGAAAAGTTGCAGAATGCGCTGATACGAATTGGCTCTCTGCTGCAAATCGACTTGCAACGTCAAACGCCACAATCCTCGAGGCTGCGGAAGTCGGAGGATCGGGACATCATGGACCCGAAATCCCTAGAGGTGAAAGTGGAGATGCTGGAGGGAGGGAGGGAACGGCTGACTAGAGCTTGGCTTTCAGAATGTCATTTCGAGCATCGGCGATCTGGTCGAGAAGAGCAAGTCCCAACGAGAGAGCGAGACTTTCAAGAACTTCTCAGAACTCCAGATGAATGCACAAAAGTGACCCTCTGAAATTTAAATCCTGCCATGGTGAATTTCATTCTGCAGGTCGGAAGCCCAGATCTCGAAGCTCGAGGAGGAACTAGAAAAGAAGAACAAGCTGTTCTCAGGCGCCATGCAGAACGCCGCATCCTTGGAGATCCAGAACAAGAAAGTTGGGGAGGAGCTGCAGCTCGAGAAGTCCAACGTCAGTTCTGTCCGCCTGCTTCAGATCCTCAAGTCTGATGATATTCGCGCAGAGGGAGAAGCTGCTGTCGTTTGCTTCAAAGCTGTCTGCCAGTCTTGGGATGGAAGTAATCAAGCCGCTCCCGTCCTCGTCGCGCGCGCTTAGAGGAAGTGAAGATCGTGACCTAGAGGTCAAGCTTGACGTGAGGACGGTTATGTTGGGGAGGAGGAGAGACTTGACTCTTCCTCCTTGTTGGGAAAACAGAACATGCTGCAGAGAATTTCAGAGCTCATGGGAAAGCCAGAGGAGCGGAAGGAGAATCCTGGGCAGTCAATCAAGATATCCTTGTCCAGGTTGGCCTCTACTACCTTGACCTCAACTACTTCATGCTCGACCTCCTCCGAGACTCTCGTCCTGCGCTCAACCTGATCCCCATCTCCCTTGTTCTCCTTCCTTCTCCTCCCTTCTCCAACTGAATCCCGTGATCCTCTCCAGCTTCGAACCGGGTGACGTGGCTCTCTTTATGCCTTGTGGAAAGGATCGCACGGACGCCTACGGCAACAGGTCCGTCGCCTCTGCTCCAAAGAACTTTTTGACTCTCATCTTGCAGCTTGTACGTCGCTTTCAATGTCGATTGCCCGAGACATTTCCTTCATACTTCGTCGTTGGAGGAATTCTTCAATAAGGATAAGGTCCCCTCTACTGTCCTCAACTCGCCTCCTCCTCTCCCACCCACCCACCCACCCTCCCTCCCTCTCTCCTTTCACCCTCTCATCTTCTCTGTGCTCGAGAGGCGGTAAAAGGTTCCGCAGGCTCGAGCTGAGAGCTACTGTCTGGGGAGGATCACCGTATGTTACGAGGTGGAGCGGGTCATTATCACGAGCTGGCTCGCTAACTTTGCGCCGCAGGCCACGGAAGATGACTTCAACGAGTTCGGGATGACGTGAGTGGCTCTATTGCACGCCCAAGTTGATCACGCTGACGGTTTGTTCCCCCCAGGGATGAAGAGACATTCCATGTCTGTTACGCAGAACCTGTGTTAACAGAGTGAATCTTGTAGAGCATGTACATAGACTGAAGAAAACGATGAGCAGAAAACGATCAGCAGGGCATAAGTCCGCACGCCTGAGCCCGTCGCTCCTTGTCGTCAACCGTCATAAGGATCCATCTCGCCTTCTCCCATGGAGAAACCCCAATCCATCTCATTGAAGTAAACGCTGTCCCCGAGGCCCCACTGGGCTTCCGATACTGTGCTCGGCTCCCTCCCCATCATCGGGCCGAAAACTTTCGGTCCATCATCCTGCCCTCATGCCTTTCACCACACCAACCCTCGCTGGAGCATGCTGCTCACCCGAGCATGCTGACCAAATTTCCTCCTCCTCTGCGGCAGCGGCCTCCTGCCGACAGGCGTCAGGTCTGGGGACCCAGCTGGAGAATTTTTGTGCGCCTCGACTGCAGATGGCTGGAGGGTTGTAAAATCAACTCGTTGGAAGAGATCTCATCTATCGCGCGCTCGAGGGCACCTGCAAGCAGCGGTATCATCCCCCTCTCTCCCTCGCCTCCTCCTCCACCACCTCCGATCTCCTCTCCTTCTACTGCTCCTCCTATTCCTGCTCCTGCTCCTGCTCCTGCTCCTGCTCCTGCTCCTGCTCCTGCTCCTGCTCCTGCTCCTGCTCCTGCTCCTGCTCCTGCTCCTGCTCCTGCTCCTGCTCCTGCTCCTGCTCCTGCTCCTGCTCGCTACTGCTCCTGCTCCTGCTCGCTACTGCTCCTCCTCTTCCTCCTCCTCTTCCTCGCCTCTCTCACCAACAGGATCATTCATCGGCTCTGAAGTGGACGGCGAATGCATTTCAACCGGCTGGAGGGAGTCAAGAGGAGTTTGCAACAAGACAACCATCAACCGGAGGGCCCTTGGGACCCCAGGGGCCCAACTCAGCCATCCGATCTTCCTTGTACCTCCTCTTCATCGCTCGCAACTCCTGCTTTGTTCCTGCCGGATCCTCAGAGAGCTTGGACGACAAAGTTTCAAGCACCATTCCACCCCATCGCTCGAACGACTGCGAGGGCGAACTTGGCAGGCGACACCTGCAGCAGTACACGCGCGTCATCACAGGTAGCACGTAGCAAGCTCGTCTCCTCTGCCCTGTACCTCCAGCAGGTCGGAGCGATTGGCGGGCCTGCTGGGGTAGAGAGCCTCAACGAGCTGGGGTGGCATCAACTGGACGCAACATGCTTCAAGGCGCCTATCTCACCAGGTCCGGATCCCTGGCGTACTTGGGGTCCGACGCCTGGAAAAGGCGATCAGGGGTGGGGGGGGGAGAGGCAAAGATGCATCACTATCAGCCTATTCTTCTCCTGCTCCCGTTTCCGCAGGTAGCCGATGTCGAAATCTTCGAGGCCAAGGTTGGAGAGTCCTGGGAGCGAGAACGGAACGTCCTCTTCGCTCAGCGGGGGGGTTTCGTAGCTGTCGTCCCAGACTGACTTCCCAGTGTTGTTCCCCTTCACTCTCCCTTGAGCTTCCCTCGGATACCCTGACAGCACGATGGAGGAGGTGGACTGCGGTTGAGTTCGCTTCTCATCCGAATGGCAGACGCTGCTCTGCATGCTGCCGGCAAGGTGCCTCAAGATCGCCCTTCTCTTTGCTACCACATCCTGTCAGAGCGAGAGGTCAGACTGCGATAGGGCAGGAAGGGGTGAGACCACGTCCTCGGACGCCAATTTCATGACGGAGGATGACAAATCGTCGATGGTTCCAGCTGCAAGAATGATCATCAGACCTTCTCGAAGATTTCATCTCATCACCTCCGGATACGTTCAAGGCAAAGTTCCCTGGGGTTCCGCCCTTGAGCGGCGGAAGGAGCGGCGCCAAAGAGTGTGGGAGAGAGATTGAGGAAGAGAAGATCGAAAAAACTGCGATGAGATGTAGGCCATGGAAAAGCATGGGGTAAGAAGTAAAGCTGTCATTCAGCCGAGATCATGGGATGGTATTCAGGATGAAGTGAGGGATCAGGGATGCGAAGAAGGAGACAGCAGAACATGAAGGCAGAGTGAGGAGGAGGATGACAGGGAGAGGGAGAGGGAGAGGGAGAGGGAGAGGGAGAGGGAGAGGGAGAGGAGGGCTGCAATTGAAGATCAGTCCCTTGATGTCCCTAGGACAGTTCAAAATCTAATAGAACATTTATTGCTGCCCTCAAGATGAATCTTTTATATCATCATATTCTGAGGCAGGTTTGTTTCGAGAGGCCCGGCACAGCGGCAGGGCCTGAATCATGGCAAGTCCGACGGGGAGCGAGCGGAACATCAACAAGTCAGGCTCCGAGCATGCACCGGGCAGGATCAACGAAGATCATCATCTCATCAACATACTCCTAGTCGTGGGACGGTCCAGCTATGTCGAGCTGACACTTGGACATTAGGCTCAGTGACTAACGGAACACCAAACTGCGGCTGATACCGCAGATCTGTCAATGTCTCTGTCTCTTCGACTGCCTCTGTGTCTCGCGCGCACATACTCACATACAGTTGGTCCTCATCGGCAGACCATAAGTATGAGCTCTTCAAGGGAACAACGCAACATCCTAGAACGATGCAGCAGATTGTTCTGATCTAGATCTTCACTCCGTTGGTCCTGAGCACTCAGATACAGATCGTTGCATCGCATATTCAATGATAGAATCTCATATGTCTAAATGTGAACAACAACTCTTCTTCCCTCTCTCCCCATTTATCGAGAAATGGCTATGAGGCGGATACTGACAATGGCATGGAGCCCATGTTTGCGAATCTATTGGAACAACGTTGTTTGAGATCTTCATTCATTCACGTGTCTTGATATTGTTTACACTATTGTGATGCGATTCAAATGTAGAGGAAGCTTGAGCATGGCAGACATTTCGAGACCAACAATCCTCGTCGCCTTTACCACAACTAAGCATCTTCTTGCCTGGAGCAGGCGCTGACCTCTTTCGGATCATCTGCCCCTTGACCAAAGAGCGGCCTGAAGTCAAGTTTATCGAGTTTCTAATACCAAGTGTAATGGATGATTTTCAACTCCAAGTCGTTGTTTGTTCTGTTCCGTTTTGGAGCAACTGCACATAGAGATCCTACCCAGCCGTGGTTTACAGGCGGCTCACGAGGCTCCCGGCCAAGAAAGGACAACACGTCTCTAGCAACTCCCAAACATCTTCATCGCATGTGTTCTTTGCATGATGTTACAATTTCGATGCATCATGTCATACACATGTCTTGTTTGCTGTTTCCGATTGAGCGCGACAATGCCATGTTTGGGTCATCACCGTCCTAGAAGTGTCCAGTCGTTATGCTCGAAACGTCTTCAAATCAACCCTGTCTCATGTGCTCTTCTAGTATCAGCTCTTCTAGTGTCAGCTCTTCTAGTATCGCTCTTCTAGTGTCAGCTCTTCTAGTATCAGCTCTTCTAGTATCGCTCTTCTAGTGTCGCTCTTCTAGTATCAGCTCTTCTAGTATCAGCTCTTCTAGTATCAGCTCTTCTAGTATCAGCTCTTCTAGTATCAGCTCTTCTAGTATCCCTCTTCTAGTATCAGCTCTTCTAGTATCGCTCTTCCTGTTGTGTAGGACTGAAGGACCTGCAAGCATGGCTCGGGGCGGCTCCGTCTCGGTCTTCGCTCCCCTCCTCCCTCTCTATCTTGCTCTGTTTGCTGTTTTTTTTTAGCAAAAAAAAACATTGCCAAACAAAAAACACATGTAAAAGTAAAACACACACAAAAAAAAAATTGAGAGGGAGAGGGAGAGGGAGGTGGGGAGCGGGGAGGAGGGCTGCAATTCAAGATCAGTCCCTTGATGTCCCTAGGACAGTTCAAAATCTAATAGAACATTTATTGCTGCCCTCTTTTATATATTATCATATTCTGAGGCAGGTTTGTTTCGAGAGGCCCGGCAGGGCCTGGATCATCACATGATCATGGTAAGTCGGGGAGCGAGCGGAACATCAACAAGTCAGGCTCCGAGCATGCAACGGGCAGGATGAACGAAGATCATCATCCCATCAACATCATGATACGGGAGTCACTCCGTCCTACGGTCTTGGGATGTCACGGCGAGCTGACACTTGGACATCAGTTTCTCTGTCTCTGCGTCTGCCTCTGTGCCTCGCGCGCACATACTCACATACAGTTGGTCCTCATTGGCAGACCATAAGTATGAGCTCTTCAAGGGAACAACTCAACATCCTAGAACGATGCAGCAGATTGTTCTGATCTAGATCTTCACTCCGTTGGTCCTGAGCACTCAGATACAGATCGTTGCATCGCATATTCAATGATAGAATCTCATATGTCTAAATGTGAACAACAACTCTTCTTCCCTCTCTCCCCATTTATCGAGAAATGGCTATGAGGCGGATACTGACAATGGCATGGAGCCCATGTTTGCGAATCTATTGGAACAACGTTGTTTGAGATCTTCATTCATTCACGTGTCTTGATATTGTTTACACTATTGTGATGCGATTCAAATGTAGAGGAAGCTTGAGCATGGCAGACATTTCGAGACCAACAATCCTCGTCGCCTTTACCACAACTAAGCATCTTCTTGCCTGGAGCAGGCGCTGACCTCTTTCGGATCATCTGCCCCTTGACCAAAGAGCGGCCTGAAGTCAAGTCTATCGAGTTTCTAATACCAAGTGTAATGGATGATTTTCAACTCCGATTCGTTGTTTATTCTGTTCCGTTTTGGAGCAACTGCACATAGAGATCCTACCCAGCCGTGGTTTACAGGCGGCTCACGAGGCTCCCGGCCAAGAACGGACAACACGTCTCTAGCAACTCCCAAACATCTTCATCGCATGTGTTCTTTGCATGATGTTACAATTTCGATGCATCATGTCATACACATGTCTTGTTTGCTGTTTCCGATTGAGCGCGACAACTCCATGTTTGGGTCATCACCGTCCTAGAAGTGTCCAGTCGTTATGCTCGAAACGTCTTCAAATCAACCCTGTCTCATGTGCTCTTCTAGTATCATCTCTTCTAGTATCAGCTCTTCTAGTATCAGCTCTTCTAGTGTCAGCTCTTCTAGTATCAGCTCTTCTAGTGTCAGCTCTTCTAGTATCGCTTTTCTAGTGTCAGCTCTTCTAGTATCAGCTCTTCTAGTGTCAGCTCTACTAGTATCAGCTCTTCTAGTATCAGCTCTTCTAGTATCGCTCTTCTAGTGTCAGCTCTTCTAGTATCGCTCTTCTAGTATCAGCTCTTCTAGTATCAGCTCTTCTAGTATCAGCTCTTCTAGTATCAGCTCTTCTAGTATCAGCTCTTCTAGTATCAGCTCTTCTAGTATCGCTTTTCTAGTGTCAGCTCTTCTAGTGTCAGCTCTTCTAGTATCAGCTCTTCTAGTGTCAGCTCTTCTAGTATCAGCTCTTCTAGTATCAGCTCTTCTAGTGTCAGCTCTTCTAGTATCAGCTCTTCTAGTATCAGCTCTTCTAGTATCAGCTCTTCTAGTGTCAGCTCTTGTAGTATCAGCTCTTCTAGTATCAGCTCTTGTAGTATCAGCTCTTCTAGTGTCAGCTCTTGTAGTATCAGCTCTTCTAGTATCAGCTCTTCTAGTGTCAGCTCTTCTAGTATCAGCTCTTCTAGTATCAGCTCTTCTAGTGTCAGCTCTTCTAGTATCAGCTCTTCTAGTATCAGCTCTTGTAGTATCAGCTCTTCTAGTATCAGCTCTTCTAGTATCGCTCTTCCTGTTGTGCAGGACTGAAGGACCTGCAAGCATGGCTCGGTGCGGCTCCGTCTCGGTCTTCGCTCCCCTCCTCCCTCTATCTTGCTCTGTTTGCTGTTTTTTTTAGCAAAAAAAAAAACATTTCCAAACAAAAAACGCATGTAAAAGAAAAACACACACAAAAAAAAGTAAACCTTTTAAAAGAGACGTGCCACGTCAAAGGACCCGTCCAACCTCTGAAATCTGCCTACTCATTTTCAAACGGAGGCTATAACGACCTCTTTAATTTTAAAGTGATTTGAGCTACTATCCTACCCCCGTGGGGCGAAACACTTTCTTCAACTTCACCCTCTACCCCTACCCCCTCTCATGACCTAATTTGACCCCTTGAGGAAGGTCAATCACTGCTCTGGAGTCCGTACCCACCCCGCCATCACCACATATCAACAAGGGTACCTCTACCCCCTCTTTCGGGTACATAGGACCCGTGTTTGTACCTTCCGCATTTGGCGTGACTAGCTGACCGAAGTAACGTGACGAAACAGAAAATCGCAGCGGTTCGAAGTGAATTCGTAGGGTGGGGGGGTGGTACCATGAATCCTGTAGGTGGTTTTGTACGGGTACCATTTATGTGAAATAGCTGGAAATATCAAGGGTGGGTGATTTTCTCCAGGGGGTAGATGGGAATTGATAGAGTATGGTAGGGGTCGGCTACAGGTGTTCCCCAGCCAATCCTCACTTCAACCCCTACCGTACTGGCTCTTCTCACGGCAGCATCCTCTGGTCGACCTATCCGCCAGCTTCCTGGAGCTCTCCTCGTCCACTCTCAATCCGATCAACCTGCTACTTCTCCTCTTTTCTGATCCCAGCTCCCGATGTCCACCGTTCCTCCTCACCTCTGACCTGCACCCCCTGTTTCGATATTGCTTTATATTCCATTCTCGGATCCCTGGTAACGCGGCTCCTTAGCTTTCTTTCAAGACCCTGCGAGGAACTGCATCTTGTCTTTCTATCTTTTTGCCTCCTTGCACCTGAATTCTGTCAGTTCACAGCCATCGTTTTGAAACTGGTTCGTTCGCATTTGTAATTTCAGATCGTCGCTTCCAGCAATCGCCCAGCTCGCAACACTCGCTCAGCTTGCGACATCGAGCCACTGTAGTTGCATCCCAGAATCAAATTCAAATTTCTATCACAGTCCTGGGGTACAAGTTATACTTTCAGAGCTTTGACAATATGAATCCTGACAAAACGATAGGGTGGATAGTGCCCGATTCTAATTCGCCGCAAAGCACCAACTTCAGGGAAGTACATTTCGAGGGTCAAAGTCTCTATCAAGAGGAAGCTTTTCAGAACCGATTCCATCCAGAGGCCATGATGAACACAGCACAGATCGATCCCCTGTACCTACAACAATCTGCAACACACGATATGTACCATGACATGCACAGCCAGCCCAGTGGATCCCTCCCGATCCCTTCCAATCATGACTACACATTTCACAACTTGGCGCATGCACAGCAGCAATTCGCACAGGGGCAATTCTTCCAAGCTCCTGCACAGCACTCAATTCCACAGTCGACGATCAATCAGGGCTTTGACCCCAACCCTTTCTCGCACGGGGACCTGTGGGAAACTGAGTTCAAAGTCAAGGTCTCAGACCAGAACACGATCTTCTACAAACGAGTGAACGTGAATGTGCTGCCTCCTGCTGGTTGCGTGCAGAGACTTCTCGGCCTGATCTTTCATCAGGAGAGCGCAACTGATGCTGCCAACCTTGGGAACTGCAGGCTTGTGCTCGAGAAGCCGGACGGGAGCACGCTGGAGATCCATTCAGACTCGGACCTTCACTACATCGTCAGTAACGAGGCTCTGAGGAGTTCCAAGGCTTGTGTTAGACTGAGCTGCTTGAGGACAAGACGTGCTGATTTGCCGAACGTGTGACCCTACATTAGTTAGTGTTGTTGTATGGGTGTTATCCTGGATAAACTTTAAAGGCACTTGAGATCCCTTTTGTTTGCTTACTGCCTTTTTCAATTTGTTAATTAGAGTGTTGAGGCGGACTGTGAATATTGCCTTGAATTTTGCTGCATGCGGTGTGCATCGATGGTTGTGAGAGGGGGAGGCGACCGGGGCATGGCGGACGAGTAAAGAAGAGAAAATCCAGCAAGAGGATGGCGAGATCTTGTTGTCATCTTTCCCTCCTCTCCTCGCTCCGCCCCCTCCTACTCCTACTCCCTGTAGCCGGATCGTTCGTGTTGTCCGTCGATCGGCCCCTCCATAGTCGGCTGCGGGCAACATCGTCTTCGAGGCTGAGAACTACGATGAACGCTAAGAGCGAGCAGCAGAAGCTGTCCTTGTCCAACATCTGGGTGCTCGCAGAGAGCAACGGGCCGGTGAGTTGGTCGGCTTGAGGGTGATTCAGATTTCAAGATCTGTGCAGGTGAGGCAGGAGGAGATGAACATCTGCAAAGCGTTCATGCAGATCTGCCGCGAGGACAACAACAAGGACAAGCTCCGAGCGTTCTTCGCTGAGAACCGCGGCAAGCCGGTGCTGTTCGAGATGAAAACAGAACGGAAGGACTTTAGAAAGTTTCTGTTCTCAGGAGGAGAAACGATGTAGCTTCACAGGGGTTGGAGGAGAGCACATAATAGGCCATGCAGGTCGATACAAGAAGGAAGCTTCGGAGACAGCGGACTAGGTTACAGCATATGGGACGCTGGCCTCGCTCTCAGCATCTGGATCCAGATGAATGGGGACAAGGTAGAGGGCCTCCTCGCTCGTCGGATGAAGTGACCTGACCTGAGGTCAAACCAGTTTGCAGGCCGCGATGTCCTGGAGCTGGGCAGCGGAGTCGGCGTGACCGGCATCTGCATGGCGAAGTCTTCAGCCAACCAGGTGGGTCTGGTGGGCCTTGTCGCAGAAAGTTGAAGAGTTTCTCAGGTCGTCTTGAGCGACTTTGGCAACGTGGAGGACGAGGGGGAGGATGAGGGGGAGAGGAACTCGGTCGTGGAGAGGAACTTGCAGCCGAGAAATCTGCTCGAGAACCTCCTGACCAACGTCGAGCTGAACGGACTGGAAGAAAAGTGTCAGGTCACCCGGCTGGACTGGCACGCTTGTCTCGCGGACAGCTTCAGGTCTGCTGTCGGCAGGTCGGCGGCACCTGTATGATCGGAGCTGCAGGCCTGTGAAGGAGTTCCAGTGCGTGATAGGGAGCGATGTGATCTACTACGAGGAGGACGCTGAGGTTGTTACTGTGCCCCAGTCCAGCTCCGTTCCTGCTGACGGGGCGCAGGCTCTGACAGCTGCGATAGTGAAGCACCTGCGAGCTGGGGGGACTTTCTTTCTCATGTACGAGTTTCTGTGTCAGCAGATCGGAGGAGTCGTTTCCCAGCTCTTACTGATGCTTGCGCAGGAACAGGAGAGGTCGACCAGGGTTGTCTGCTGTGAGGCTGACCGGGTGACAGCTGGGGTTGGCTGACTTCCTTGCGCTCGGCAGGTTTTGGAGAACCTTGAGAGGATGGGGAAGGTCGAGGTGGGGTGGCAGGATGGTGTCTGCTCCAGTTGATCCTTCTGGGCAGGTGACGGAGCTCTCGCTCTTCAACAACTTTGACTCCACGCCTCTCCTCTTTGCTACCTTTACCAAGGGATGAGCCTTCCTTCATGTCCTATAGTACAACAGCTTGTTGATATTCTACCCTGAAAGTGAAATAGAAAATCTTCTACTTCTTCTTCCTCCCTCCTCTATCTACCTGCTTTACCTGATCTTCGTCCTCCGAGAGTTTCCACCCCTTACCCATCGCGCGCTCCTGGCAATATTTCATCTGGTGCTTTCCACAACCATTCCTTGAGTGCACTCCATCGTTTCCGGCACAGAGGCGGCAGCTCTTCCTCACGCTTGGCCAGCTGGCAAAGGTCCTTCAAGCACGGGCATCGATCGAAGAGGAAGGTAGCATGGAGCAGGTTGAGGAAGGGGAATTGAGTTAGGATGTTGAGGACAGGATTCTCGCACAGCCCTCTGATGTACTCAAGCGTGGCGGAGGAGGGAGAGAAAGTTCCCGCCTCCTTGTCCTCCAGGGCGATCTCCAGCAGCAGCAGCGCGCAGCTAGCCGGGTCGTCACTGACAATCAGCTTGACACCGTTGGCCTTGGAGATGGAAGAGATGATTTCCATGTACCTCTTCGTGTCCAGCTTCAACGGGTCAAGTGCAAAAGCCGTTGCACCGCCCGTGTCAAGCACAAAGTACAACTTGTCAAAGGTGCCCCTGGCGCTGGCGACCTGCTGGGCGAGGTTTGACAACTGCTCGTCAGTCTTCAAGTCCTTGAGGTGTTTGCGGATGATCGCCGTCTCGAAGCCACAGACGTAACTGACAAACTGCAGCCTCGTAGTACTCACACACTCCACCCGGTCACTCAAGGTAGGTCTTCTCAGCTCCTGACATAGACGGGAGTTGAACTCCGAGCTGGCCACGAAGAATCTAGCCTTCGTGTTCTCTTCCTGTGCGCGAGCTGGTCGAGCAGCTGGGCTGCAGAGGTCCTCAGGCTCACCCTGATCGTGATCGTAGCTGGGCTCGTTATCCTCACTGGGCGAAGCATCTTCTTCCACCTCTTGCGAGCTCCCCACGACGAAGCTGCTCAGGTCGCTCTCATCGTCACTCTCTGACTCTGAGACCGATCGTTCTCTCCCCAGCATACTCGTTCCCCTCTTGCCGAAGGACATCTTGTATCCCCCTTGATGCTGCCGGGGCAAGAACTCTCCTTCCTCCTGCGTCATGAGGGATCGTGCGTAGATGCTTCTCATAGCCCCTGGACTAGCTTCTGACTCCGAGGCCTCGTCGTTGATGAAACTGTCGTTCATAGCAAGCTTGTCTTCCTCAGCCGATTGTTCGTTCCCCGAAGAGGTCAAGTGATCTTCAGACTGCTCTGCTTCGTCCTCAAAGTATTTCGCCCTGATCTTCCTCCTCTTCAACCGCTTCTCTTCTCTCTCCTTCTGCTTCTCCCCTTTCCCCTTCTTCTGCTTCTCTCCTCCCCCTTTCTCCGTCCTCCAGACTCCTTTCCTTGACTCTGTCCCTTCCTTACTTTTTGGAAACTTTGGGTTCGTTTCAAACTCATCGTCACTAGACACCGTTTCCACTTGCTTTTTTTCTTGCACATGACCAGGTCGTTGCATAGTTTGTTCCAGAGTCAGTGCAGAGGAACCGCTTCCAACGGTCTTGTGCACTGCTGGGAATTCATCGCAACTTTCATCCTCCTCAGAGCTCACTATCCGTCTTCTCTTTTTGCGAACTTTGACCAAGGGAGTCGAAATGTCGGAGCGATCCAAACTGACATTGCAAACCACATCTTGCGAAATAACAATCGGCGGCTCTTCTCTGTCGTTTCTGTTAGTACTTGTGCAAGCTGCTGTGTCTGCTATGTGACGTTCTGTAATAGTTTCCTCCTCCATCTCCAACGATGGATGCGAAGCTGCATCGCGTGCTGGAGCTGTCAGATCAGCGTCGGGTTCAAATTGTAAACTTTCGCTCTCTTCTCCGCCCGACGAGTCTCCGAGATCAAATGAAGGGATGTGTACGGGGTGAGCGACTGGCCCATTTAAGGTTGAGTTCCTGGCTGTTTGATTTGCTCCTGATTGACTTCCCCCCCTAACTCCCATCCAGTCTTGCATGCAGGTCGTCCGGTTCGGTACAAGAGGTTCGCTTTTCCTGTCCGGCGATCTTTGAGTTTTCTCACTATAAGCAGTAGCAGATACTGCAACATCCGTGGATGTTAACGGCATACATCTGACATGAATTTGTTTTTCCTCGGGTCGAATTGCAAAGTCTGGTCTTGCCACTTCTTCCATCTCAACATGGCATTCACCAGGAATCAACGGTATTCGATCCCTTCCACTGTAGAAGTGAGGAGACGCGATGGACTCAAGGGCTGGGAAATATTTCTCGATCTCCTCATCCATGGAAGTTTTTTTGACACTCATGTCACTTTGACTGCCCTGGGCTTCAGAGCAAGCTACAGCAAAATCCTGAGATATACAGGGTTCGAGACGAGCAGCAGGTACCAACACGTTACCAAGCCCCTGTTCTTCACCATCCGTGTCGTTTGCAGGAAACATTTCCGGGCAACTCTCCACCTGGGCTTCACTTTGACATTCAAGTCCGTGACACTCCTCAACCCCAGAACGTTCGTTGCAAATTTGAGATTCGAAGAATTTGGACATCATAGACACGAAAAGTTTGGAGCGACGATTGTGTTTTATCCTGTACACGGAAGAACTGACTGTCTGCATTTCTGGCCAACTGTCAAGTTGCAAAGAATAGACATCTTGACTTCCATAGAAGGATGAGAGATCAACGTGGTAGCCTTTCTCCTTCATCCATGCGATCTTCTCCTCTTTTGTAGAGGGGGTGCCGGCCTTTCCCTTCTTTGCTCTTGTCTTGGATTCTTGCTTGCCTCTCGCTTCTTTGTCTGGGACATGTTCCTCGTCTACGACCTTTTGGAAATCGATCTCAATGACAGGAGGCAAGGGGTCAACGAGCTTTGAGTCGTGCTTGTAGAGGTCAATCTTCTTGCACTAGCGGAGATCAAGCTCAGCCATAGATAGTCAACAGCAGCGCACACACCTGATTGAGGGTCTTCAGCGTCTTCGTTAAGGAACTCTTCTTCTTCTCGCCTTGCATTTGCTCAAGAGCTTCCCTTCCCTCCATCACTAGCTGGACGACGATTCCCTCTCGAGCCCTGCCAGTTCTACCCGATCGCTGCACATCCCGTATGGGAGAGTTGACCAGATCATATTGGATAATAATGTCGACGTTGCCTACGTCAAGGCCCTCTTCTCCGATGCAGGTTGCCACCTGACATGATCGTCATCAGGCGATATCACATTCAAACCCTCAATTACCATGGTGTTGAATCGCCCGTTCCTGAAGTCATTCATAACTTCCTGTTGAATCCTTTGACTCTGTCCCTTGTGAAACGCAGTGCCCTGCTGTCCAATGAAAATGCTTGCCCGAACGTTCTGCAGTCTGTTGATTTCTTCGCATATCTCCTCTACACAGTCTCTTGAGCTCGCAAAAACGATGGCACGAGAGTCAACTCGATCTCCACTCGAGCTGCACTGAGTGAGCTTGCGGTTGAAATGCTGCTCCAGGATGACTTTGAGCTTCTCTAACTTTGGATGCAGGAAACATTCTTGCTCCCGCAGCTGAAATCGAAAGAAGTCAAACGTTGGGAGGGTTGCAGGTCAACAAAAGCACATACATTTTTCAACGTGTTCAAAACCCTGGAATACCCTTCTTTCCTTACGATATCTCCTTTGGCACCATACTTGGATATGCACTCCGTCTGAATTTCAAATATTAGCATTCAAGAACTTGATTAAATGACTTGCCTTGGCGTTCTGCAATGTTTGAATGGGGCCCTTCATCGAGCCACGTTCTAGATTATGACAGGAGCGGAGGATGAAGATTGCTGCATTGAAGTCTGATTGAACCGACAACACTTCTTCCCTGGAAAAATTTCCTGGGGGTGAAGATATGAATCTCTTCTGCAAAAGATGCAGGATCTGTCAAAGAAGGCAGAGACGACAAAAGCTGAGCAATGGCAACCTGCGCTACATGCAGAAGTCCATGATTGAGGTTGTCTACCTCATGCTTGTGCAAAAGCTGCTTGAATTGGAGTCTCCTAATGACTGGGGACAACAAATCTCTCAGCTCTTCGCATGCCCTCATGATCCTGTGATCTTGACCCACAGCTACGACCTGGACTCAGAGTCAAGCTATATTCCTTACAGGCTGCCAGTTCGAACCTCGCTCTCCTTGTTGTGAACATGCTGTTGGATATCTTCATCCTCCTCGTTCTTTATCTCCAGGTTCGAAATCATCAAGTTCGATATGACATTCTGGATTCTCTCCAGCTTGCTGCCTGGTGTGGCAGTGAGAGCCAAGATCCTCAGTCCAGCTGATACCCTAAACATCGTATTACCATGAGCACCAGGTCAGCAGAGAGTTGAGAAGCAGCACCTGTGATTCAGCTGCTCTACCGACTTGACAATAGCATGTCGACCTATCGCCCTGTGCGCTTCATCCACGACGAGTAGCACCACCTTCTCTGCAGGACAGTCTCCACGGCATATGTCGTTGTCGAGGATCTTGAACATGTCAGTGCAAGGTGGAGGCTGCAGCTGGGGAGTACCTGGGGAGTCATGAAAAAGATCGATCTTGTTTGCCAGAGATTCCTCCGATTCGAGACGTTCGCAGATCCAGTCATCTCTGCTATCTGCCTTGAAGACACTCCCATCACCCTCGAGCATGCCTCCAGCTGCTGCTTCACGAGGGGCTTTGTCGGCGCCAGGAAGATGATGATACGGTCAGGGAACCATGTCATGTAGTTGTGCATCAGGACGGCTGCGATCAGAGTCTTTCCCAAACCCGTGGGCAAGGACACCAGCGTGTTCTTCTGCACTGCAGACAGGATGATGTCCCTCTGATAGCGCCTCACCTGCGGGTTCAAGGGAAACTCGAGTTTCAGACGAGTGCCACCTGAACTGGCTGAACCGGCTGCTGGCCCTGAGCCATGGGGTTGAATCCATGAAGTTGGGATGCAGCTCTGTACATGACTAGGTCTGGAGGCATGTTGCAGTGAACAAGGGGCTGAAGCTTCCGGCGGTTTGTTGGACTTGAGAGCAGAGTTGGCCAGTTGCTCTTCGAGCTGATTGGCTGCTGCTATTAAGAATTCGTCGTCGTCGTCGTCGAACAAACTCTCCATGGAGACGAGAACGATCTAACGATGCTTACTGGCCGATACTATCATGTAGCAATAAATCTCTGCAACCAGAAGCCGAGTATTGACTCTGGCGCCACTTTGTGTTTGTGTCAAGGGCGGCCATGACTCAAAATATTTTCTTGATGAGATCCACATTGAGCATGAAGCTTCATGACAATGAACACAAAGTTTCACTCCATATGCAGACATGTTTGTGCTATGATGGATCGTCTTGTTCTATCATGCATGCTGTATTCCATCTTGTACCTGCGCTTACCGCTGCTTCCGATTCGCTTGCCGCCATCCCGCCATTCCTAATTAAGAGCACCAATCATGGTCTTCACTCATATCAGTCGCGGCACCGGGCCGGGCCAGCCCGGCGCCGACCGTAGGACTCATCCCTACAACTCAGAGTCACGGTCAGTGACTTGTGACAGCGGCGCAGCGGCAGCCGGCCCCAGGCCCGTCGGCCTTTCTGCCGCACCGTCGGCAGGGCCAGACTCTGGTCTTTTTCAAAGACCGCCAAAGGCCTTGAGTCGAGTCTGCTTTTCTTCAAGGCTTCATGCTGAACGGCCGCCGCGGCATTTTTTCCTGGCCGGGCAAGTTCCTTCCGAAGTTCTGACGGACTCCGGAGCACAAGTTTGTTAGATTTGTACTATGCCAAAGTCACGCAGATATCACATCGACCTTAGTTGTAACAAGACAGGTTTTGCTCAACCGGGACCAGTTCAGGTTCACATCCTGGATGCCAGGTGAAACCCAAGCCTTCCAGACATGAGAGGACCTATTGCCGCCTCGAAAACACGTAAGTCGTCTTGGTTTACAGGAGAGTTTTGTTAACTCGGCGCTATCTGACTGGCACGGCTGGCATACGATCCATCACCTTCCGAGACCGCGCGGCCATGAGGCTCATGTTGTAGTTGGGGAGACGCCGGGGCCGGCCTGGCCACCGGGCCCGGGCCCCCGCCGCGCCGGGCCACGGTGCCCGGGCCTGGCCGCACGGCTGAGTGTAAGCAGTCTACTCAAAGTTTTAAGTTAAAAATCAGTTTTAACAGCTTGAATGAAGGGATGGATTTAGTACGGCTATGTAATTTTAAAAGCTCTGTAGATAATTAAATATTTACTTGGAGTACCATGACAGTTTTAACTTGTACTTGAAATTCGAAATTTATCTTTGACGCGCCAGAGGGAAGACGAAACTTGAAACTGCGTCCATGCCGAACTTGCGCCGTACGGCACTTACAAAGTGAACAGAAACCATGTCAAGATGTGTTGAAAACATACTGATTCATCATCGATTAGATAGCTAGTGAGCAGTCTGAATATTCAAGGAGCCAGGAAGTTGCAGGACCCGGGAGGTGGGGGGAGAGAGGAAAGACTTGAATTTTCATAATTTACATGTACGGGTTTCCACTGGAAGAATTCTCCCACTTGTTCCTTGTGTTCCAGGTTTGACGTGATTGACAGTGTTCCCATCGAGGTCTTGAGAGCCCACAAACATGAGGAAAAGAAAGATGTGAGAGTGAGCTTGTCGGGTTGCATCGAGTGCTGAATGGAGTCTTTGCAGCATTGCAGATCGATACCTGGGAAGTCGGTTCGATAAGGAGAAGCATCGAAAGTACAACGCTCTGCTCTACACGCATGACCTTGATGGGGAGACGCCGATTACCGTGAGAGACTTTCGCTTGATGATGTCGATCTAAAAGTTGTCAAAGAATCCGAGGCGGACGGCCAAGGGAGAAGAAGCCTATAATGAGGTGAAGGTGAACTGACGGGAATGAATGCTGACGAGACATCAGTTCCTGTACGGACTAGAGCTTATCAACCAGCAAGAATACCTCCCTACCTCGGCCTCACTCCTCGGATCATGCGCAGGCGGTTCAGATGCCCAAGAGTTTGAGGACGCGGCAAAGTGGGAGAGGCTGGTGTACCAGCGGCACAACGCGCTGACAGCGTTCGCGTTCAACATCGACCTGCTCGACCGGACGAAGCTGGACCATAAGGAGGATAAGACGAAGAGTGATGAGGATGGGAAGGCAAAGATCAGCAGGCGCTACAAGATCCACAGAGAGACGAGGCAGACGCTCATTCGGCCGCTTGAGGCAGATTTCACATGGCTCGGCTTCCTACTCTACGTCGTCACTTTCCTGGCAAAGAGGTGAGGAGAACGAGGCTTGTTGGAGACATCGCCTGCTGAAGTGTAAGGCAGCTACACCCTCGTGATCCAGATCATCACGATCGCCGGGATCTGTTCGGCATCGTACTTCTGCCCTTTCAACAGAAACCCGCTGTGAGAGAGTGATGTGTATCTTAATATTCTAAGCTCGACTTCAGGCTTCCAGTCACAGCTCCTCCTGCCAAGTACAGAGCCAGTCAGATTTATCAAGTAAGTCGCGCAGACAGCGATGTGCTGCGCTCTTGTTACAGCACTGCTCCTTCGATCTGTGACTTCTTCCTTCCACCAGTCCTTCAATTACTTCCAGACCTATGATCGCCCGTGGGTGCCATGGCTGAGGGAGAGCTGCAAGGGGGAGGATGCAAACTGCAAGGATCCAGGTTACGTCGTTCAGTGGCCGTACATGCAAGTCACGAAGAATGTACTGGGCCATCCCCCTCTTTCACGATTCAGATGCCCCTGACTGTTCCCTGGCAGGGCACTTCCATGGTCGACATTCCTCAGGAGCTCATGGCGGCCGCCAGTTGCACTCTTAGGAACAACGACTGGATTTTCGACCCCTTCCTCAAGAGGGTGCGCAGTGAGTTCTTGGACTGCTCGAAAAGAGACGGCAACGTGCCGTTCAAGGTGGATGGGACCTGGTTCCACTGGAAGCCAAAGTACTACTACAGCAACCATGCTGAGACACTGGCCTGCAAGAAAGAGGTGTTTAACTTTGACAGCCGCATCGTGACAGAGGAGGTCAAGGTTCAACAGGAGCTGCTGAACTGCATCGTGCAAACGAGCATCGCTCAGTCAGACCTTTGCTCCTGCGACCAGTCGGGTTGGACCAAGCTGGAGAGGTTGAGGCGAGGACCTCAGTTTGTTGTCCGTCTCTTCTCGAACGACCAGAATGCGATCCAGAACGAGACATTCAAGCCTGACTCGCTCTGTGGCGGAGACTCCGTCGCTGGGAAATTCTGCATGCAAGACAGTGACTGTAGTGGCAACAAGTGCAAAGCGGTGTACACGAGCCAGCGGCACATCTCTGCAAACAACCTTGTGAGGGACTGACCTGTTGTTGTTCTTTCGCCTCTTACTCAATTGACAAGTACGGTTGTTTCTTCGAGACTCCCGACGCTTTGGCTGTCATGCAAAACAAATTCTTTACCTGCGCCCCGGCTGGACCGGTCTGTCATTGTGCTTGCACGTATGGGGAGACTAACAAGATCGTCAGTTTGACAAGCTCTTCGCGCCCGGAGGACAAGCTGAACGCCTCCGAGCTCTAACAACAGGAGTGACGTAAGGATCGGGATGCTATTCAGGTTCCGATATTCAGCACGTCTGTTCAGGTTGAGAACCTGGCTCCTTACGGTCTTCTTAATCAAGGAGGGAAGCTTGATTTCAGGTCTGTTCATCGTCTCGTGTCAAGGAGTATACTATCCTGAATATCTCAATCGCTCCCCACACCTCTTGTCCTCCACCCCGCTTCCTCCTCTTCCTGCACCTCCGTCCCATTATCATTTTCCCTCTCCCTCTCTCTGCATCGCATCTCAACCTCTCCGTTGCCAGGCTTTGCTCTCTGGATCATTTTCTACTCTCTGATTGCAATCCTGGCATTTGTGTTGGCGCCATTCCTCATGTACGACCTCGTGTATTGTTTGAGGTAGACTCTGATCGATTTCGAATGATAGGATCTATCTCCTTTCGCTGAGCGGGAGCAAGAACAAGAAGCAGAGGTTGAACTTCGTTCAGGTTCGCGTGTTTTCTTCATGTCTGGAATCTCAGATGTATGACTGGTCACAGTTCATGCTGGCTCTCATGGACGCTGTCAACGACCAGGCAGAGGTGGAAAAGAAAGTCTACATTCACAACCTCTCATGATCTCTCGAGTACAAACTTAGCCTTTCCGCTAACTTCCTCCTGCCTCTCCAGATCTTGTGGTCCATGGTCACAAACTTCTCCACCACGTATCCAGCTCTCTCTCCTCTCCTTGCCTTTGACAACCTCAACCCCCAACAGGTATCGGTTGTACACGTTGTTGCAGGCCTTGCTCTCTGGACGAGTCAACGCCTCCATCAAGGTTTCCATGTCTTGTTTGACTTCAGTCTCGTCTCTCAAGCACCATGAAGGATTTTGACCGCAAACTCACCGACATTGCCAACACTGTCAGCTTGCTTGTATTGTACTCCTTTCCTCCTCCTCACAGATCTCATTCCAGATTTACGATCTCACCCTCCTTCTGAGTTTAGGAGGTGCTCCAGATTCCACCATCATCAGTTCCTTGGTCAGCAGCACAAGGCAAACAAGTTTCCTTCTCTGACTTGCCGTAGGTCCTCACGTTGACAAACTTGCTCTACACGATGAACGTCGAAAAGGTAGACGTCCTCCTTCCCAAATCTTGTTGGGTGACATGGGCCGCAGGTGAAGCTGACGAGAATTGTACGTCCTCTTGAAGACCTCAACGATAACAGGCTGTCCAAGTTTGAGGTGTGAGAGGAGGAGGAGGAGGAGGAGGAGGAGGAGGAGGAGGAGGAATAGATGAGTCTCGTTTCCAGACTGCATTGCTGCTGGTTAAGATCATGGAAGATATGCTCGACAGAGACATCCAGTACAACTTCGTGCAGGTCTCAAGATGCTCTTCTCTCCTGGTTCACTTGCTGAGTTGCAGTGAAGGTCTTCAAGGAGGGGCCGGACGCGACGCAAAACGAGAGGTGAAGAAAACTAACGCTCCTTCTCCTCCACATCATCTCCATCATCTCCACCATCATCATCGCGGACTCACCTTATGCCGACTCAGGCTCATCCCTTACATCCCTCAAGAATTCATAGAAAAGGCGAAGGAGATGCCGGAGGAGCCGGAGGAGAATAAGAGCATGATGATACAGCTCCACAACAAGATCCAAAAGCTCCTGATCTCCTTCATCGGGGATGGGAACGAGAAGATCCCTCCCTACTGGCTCGAAATGCCTGAGCTCCCACAGTGACCAGCGCATGGCAGCAGGGCAGGTACTGACAGGGTTGCCAGGGACCTGATAGACAAGTTTGGACACGACGGGGAGGGATTTCAGGCACAGAATCCCAACAGGACTGTGATGAAGGACAGCAACAACGTCCTGGTGCGGCTGCCCCTCCTTCCAGTGCGATGACGGTGAAAGTTGTGTTGACAGAGCCTCTCCGACGAGGCGGGAGTCAAGGAGTTTCTCCAGAGGCTGCAGCCCTCCATCGACAAGGTGAAGGCACTGGGAGCTCGCAAAGAGGAGCAGGCGCAGGAGGATGCTCCGTGCTGTGTAGACCTCTTCCCCTCATTGGATGACGTGGAGGAGTCGATCCGTGACGAGGAGGAGCTTCATCGCAAGCCCAGGATCTTGTTCTACGGGGAGTCGAACCTCCAGGTCCCTCCTCCTCCTCCTCCTCCTCCTCCTCCTCTTCCTCTTCCCCCCCCCTCCCCCCCTCCTTATCGTCATGCTGATGTCCAGAGCAGTCCGCGTTGGAACGTCAAGATCAGAGATCGCCAGAGGTGCCAACGGCGCCTGACACCCACAGGATGCATCAAGTCCAGCCTGCTACTCCCCAAGAGCATCAAGAGATCTCCTTCGTCGAAGCTCAGCCAGTCCTGCACCCTGCAGATCTCGAGCTCCAGCTGCCTTCGGACGGCAAGGGCTCGGGCTACCTCTCAGCTCCTCGTCCTACTCAGGAGACTGACTCGCAAGTCATGGAATCTCTCCTGCAGCCTCCTCCTCCGCTGCAAGTTGTATTTGGCTGTCCTCGCCAGCTCTCTCTCTCCTGATAGGATGGCAGGACCAAGGAGACGCCTCTCCTCCTGCTGCCGATGCTCAAGGTGGACAAGAGCCGGAGCCGGATGCCGCCATGGAGACGAACGAGGTACGAGAGCGTGAGGCAGGCGGGTACCATGTGTGAAGTTTGCCGCTGAAGACTCCGCCGACCGAGACGGAGGCTCTCAACGGTCAGGCGTAACCAGTGGGACAGCAGTTCGCTGATGACAATAGCTACCGGACATCTCCGATGAGAGGATTTTTCCACCGTGTGAACGGTTGGTCCATCTGATGATGATTTTGAATTTGTCCTCGTACTGATTTTTAACTTAACTTTGAGTAAAAAGAAGAATGGAAAGCCCGGAAGGTAGTTAAATCAACCCGCCTCAGAGAATTGATAGGGGCAAAGAAGACAGAAAAGAATTTCTAGTTGAGGCGAACTAGTGCCCTTAATCTGAGGCGGACTCTGGCTTTGATGCGGCATGCTGCCTTCGTTCTCGTCCTTGCGCTAGGCTTCGAGGCTGTCGCCTGCTTCACGATAGGAGGAGGAGGAGGAGGAGGAGGAGGGCCTTGTAGACAGCTGAGGATCACCAGAGAGAGGGGAACGACGCCCGTGAGCTTGAGAGGAGGAGCCTGTGCAGCGAAGATGGCAGCTCCGAAGGTGGACATGCGGGAGCTTCTTGGATGCTGCGTATATGCATGTGAGAGGGCAGGACAGATCATTCGTGATGTTGAGAAGAGGAGGGAGCAAGGAAAGCTTGCAGGTACCATGTTGAAGGATGCGCATGATTCCCGCAGCTACCTCACCGAGGCAGATACCTCTGCTCAGAAGGAGATCCTGAAGATCCTGCGCAGCAGTTTCCCGCAGATCTCGATCGTTGCAGAGGAGGAGGAGGAGGAGGAGGAGCTGCAGGGGATCGGAGGAGTTCCTCAAAAGTTCCTTCCGGTAGAGCTCCGCGATGTGCCGGAACAGCTGACGTCAGTGCCCGCAGAGGACGTGTGTGTGTTCGTAGACCCTGTGGACGGCACCAAGGAGTTCGTGGAGGGAAGGCTCGAGGCGGTCCAGACTCTCGTGGGGATTTCAATCAATGGCAGGCCGACAGGAGGAGCAGTCGGCATCCCCTTCCTCAGTGGCATGGAAGGGGTTCACGTCGTGTACGGGCTGGTAGGAGCAGGGGTTGCCAATGTCCCCCCACCATGTATGGAGAGGAAGGAGCAAGCTGGGGTCGTCCTGGCAGCCTCTCCCTCCGGCAAGGAGCAGGCTGTTCTTGATGCTCGTCAGCTCTTGGCACCGAGCAAGCTGATAACGCCAGGAGGAGTCGGGAACAAGGTGAGGGGAGGGAGGGAGGGAGGGAGGGAGGGAGGTAACTTTTGGAGGGGAGGGAGGGAAGGAGGGAGGGTAGGGTAGGGAGGGAGGGAGGAACGTTT